TTCAACGGGTCCGAATCATCTCGGAGGCGTTTTTGGGCGTGAGATTTTAGTCGACACGTTATTGGCAATTCTCTTTTGTTACTCCATATGGGCTAGCAGTGGAATATGCTTTTTAAAATTGGAATATATGACCTTATTGCCCTGAAATAAATTTGAGAATACTGTACAGTATCACCAATTTTACGGAGTCTGTATAGAGTAAGTGGAGAAAGTCAATGAAGCGAAGATTTTTTTTTATTTCCATCACATAAGAATTTAAAATTCAAAGCATTAAAAAATTTAATGAAAACAGAAAATGGCGTGGAAAAGCCCACCTGAACAAAAGAACTCTTTTAGACTAATAATTAAGCGCCTAATTATAATATAATGCACTGTAAATATCATACAGTAACATGAACACACATCATGCAATTTTTCCAGGCGGGGTGCATTCCATCATTTTGCAACATTGTTTTTGCCTCATGCTTTTACTGGATGTTTTTTTTGGACATGTCAAAATGGAGTAAAATATTTTAAATAAATATTATGTTCTGCTTTTAGATTCAATCACACGGTGTATATATTTTTTTGCTCGCAAAATTTCCGCACACTTCTGTATTCAAACGATTCAGCATGTAAAAAAAGAAGGAATAATTTTATCTGCTTTGAGATTTAATCACAGTGTACATGTTGTTTTTAGTTGCGAAATTTCTGCGCATGCAGCTTTGTCTTCAAACAAGCACAAACTTCTAGAAATTAATTAATTTTCTTTGCTAAAATTGTCACCATCATGAATCGAGAAGATAATCAAGCAGGGAAACATTTCCCACAGAACCCACAAAATAAAAAATTCGCCTCGCGACCCTTCTAATATTTTTTTTTGTGTCTCCGACTGTTGATGCGTCTAAAACGAAATAAAGCATCTTCTGTCATGATGAAAAAGCCGCGTGCGTCTTTGGGCCGGGATATTTTTATTGTTTACTCGATGTTATTTCCTGTCACATATTTTGCCAGGTTGTCACTTGATGTGGGAGCTGGGGGAAAATATGGATGCGGGGGACGCAATTCCCACGACTTCTTTTTTTGGACTGGGATGAAGAGGCGGTTGATTGGATAATTGTTGTGGGAGGATGCAGGCAGTGGCAGAGATTTCCGTTGTCAGTCTGTGTACAGTGTATATTTATATATATATACACCCGAAAATATTTCCGACAAAAGTCAGTTGAGATGAACCAGAGAGGAAAAAAGACTGCCGTTTTTCATCCAGCAACGCTGATGACGGGGCGGGTCAACAACTTATTGGCGGAGGGAAAACAGAGATCCAAAATTGGCAGGAATTCTGAGGGACATTCTCCGAACGACAAAAAAATAAATCCAAGAACTGAACGATTAAATGCCTTCATTTGGAAATTTTAGATGAGCTTTCAAATGTGTAATCGACAAAATAAAAATTTTGGTTTCATCAGTAGGAAGAAAAGTGTCAGTTTGAGCAACCTGTTTTTCAAAGTCAAACTTTATTTGCTTATCAATTTAAAAAAAAAGAAGATTACGAATAAATTATAAAATTTTAGACACCGTTCAATTCCAACCTGTTTTGGTTTTTGAAGTTAATGATAAATCAAAATTTTGTTCATCTGGAAAAAATCGGCAGTTTCCAGTTTTGAAACGGATCATCTGTCAATTGGAACAGTATACAGCAGTATTCAGTTGGTGATAGCAGGAAAGCTCATTTAATTTTTTCACAGTTTCATTGAAAAATAAAATTGATGGAAATATTTAGCTGGTGCGCAAAAAAAAACTTCTTGAAACGGGTATTTTAATATTTAATTATTAATCTTTTTTAATTATAGATTTATAATTAATAAATATATTTATTTGATTTAAATTATTGTATTTTAATTATTGATCTTGAGTTGGCACTTAGTCTCTCTAATTTTTCGTGAGATCAAAAACTTCAGCCCTTCAGGTTTCAGTAGCATATTTTTTCGTCCCCTCAACATCGATCTATAAATTATTGCATCATCGTCCTAACACACTGCAGAGCAATGGGGGCCATTTGAAAGAAATTTGAGACATATTATTCTGGCTGTTGAAAAGCTAAATTTTTCAGTAACACGAGAAAAACGCGAATATTATTATTACCAACACCACGGAAACGTTTTCTCCGTGATGATGCATGTGAAAAGCGAACCCATGGGGCGGAAGAATAAGAGGGGGGGGGGGGACACAACAGGTGCAAGGAGGGGCGTGAATATCTATACATACGAGTGTTACCCTCTTTTGAACAGAGAGAGGAACCCCCCTCTTGAAAAAAAAAAAAATAGAAATCACCCACCCGGCATAATAATTTTTCGGGTTCATTAGTGCACCTTATTCCGACTCGGCGTTTCCGTTGCTGATGATGATCATGATCTGCAGCTTCCTTTATCATCATCCCCGCGGATGAGAGACGCTATGATGACAACCTTCAACGAACAACACAAGTTAAAGATGTTCCGCGTTAATTTTTTGTCCGTTTCTGCGATATGTCGCTATGTTTTTCACCACCGGAAGGAACACCGGAAGAGGGGGGGTTGCAGACACATACACACACATACATCCTGATGATGATGACAGCAGGGAAGCATTGCTGGGACATCCCAGTCATCTGAAGGGTGCGGTCGGTAACTGGGCTTTATTTCATGGCAATCCTCTTCTTGGGTAAAGTAGGAATCAAGCCTGAAACCATTCAGGTGACATCTGATTTTGTTTTTAACCAGAGAATTGGAAAAGTTCTTTTCAAGATTAAACATTTTCATGAAAAGATCAAAATGTACAAAATTGGAGCTTTTTTTTTAAATCAGAGACCAAATTATTCAGATTTTAAATTTTTTCTGAACATCATATCATGTAAAAGGAGCACTCTCTAAAAAAAATTTAAGCAACCAGAAAAAATGCACTGTACTGAGAATTTTGTAGTTGAGAACTCTGTATAACACAGGGAAAAAACCCTATAATAGCAGTATACTGGAACCAAAGAAAAATTTGTTATACAGAGAAAATCATTGTGGAGAGGATTGTTGCTAAGAAAGTCCACCTTTATTAAAATTGGACCTCACTGCCAATTCAGAAGCAAGTCAAAAACATCCCTAGACCTGAATTTCAATTAAATCATTGACCAAATCCCTCACAATTCCAATAATATTATTTAAAGCTCCGCAACTTGAAAATTGTGAGGTCAAACCTCCCTTAGTCAATTTCTCAAGACACTTTGCTAATGGATGGCAGGGTTTTTTAAAATATGTTTTAGAAAACATAATCCAGAAAAAGGCGAATTATTTCCTTTATTCTCCACACAAGGAAGTACAATATAGGCGAATTACTGCAAGTTAAGCATCTAAGAATGATTTCAATAATTCTGCCAGAACATCAATAATATAACTGATCACCATACAGAAATCAGGCAATTTTCCTATAAACACAAAAACTCCTCGAGTCTCTCTCTGTTTTGATAAAAACAGCTATGATGAAACTTCTTCTGCACCGATTAATCAGCTGAATTATTCATTCGATCAAGACTTTTTTTTTTGGCAGAGTCTCGGCTGTACATGGGACTCATTCCGCCCGGCGAGAATCATTAAGACTTGCTACACCGCTTCCTGGAATATCCGGTGCGATTCACGCAAGCGCAACCGGATTCTGCAATACGCACCAACGCGCACTGCTTAACCCGACATCCATGATGGTGCTGGTGGAAAAATTGAGCATGGGATGCAACACTGCAATTATCTTTTGCCCGCCGTTGTCGGGAAGCTCATTTATTGCACTTTCTATATTTTTTTATTATGCGCATGCTTTTATTTTACGCACATATATACTCCCCTTGGAATAAGAGATCATCAACGTGGGACAGAAACAAGCGTGTGTGAGGGCTTTAAACCGTTACGCATATCCGAGTTTTCGGTTCACTTGTCCAAGGACAACGACGACGAAGAGTTTCCAGCTTTAAATATGCCCTATTATTTTACGTAGTGGGCAATAAGTCAACGTTTTGTTCATTCCGCATGGATAATTCCATCATGCTGGAAATAAGGTGTTTAATTTTTATCCAATTGAAGTATTCCTCACTTCGTCAAAAAAGGAGGTACATTATCACACACTGTGAGACGCTGAGCAGCTAGGGATAAAACAAAAAAATCCATAGGTTACATTTTACAGCATTGTCCTTCACAACAACCAATTGCTTCAGTCAGGGTAGATGTCACTGCTGGCAGTTTGCAGAAGCATTTCATTTTAAAGAGCCATCTCGATTCATACACGTATGCTAATCATGTTTCCTGGTCTACAGGGGGATTGCTACAGTATTAAATAAATTTTGACTATCATTCTGAAGAAACTTTCCAATATAGTTTCCATACTGTAACAACTTTTAGCATGGATTCTTCAGATTTACACTGCTTAATACTGTGGAAGGCATGGCATCCAAATGAAAATTCTTCATCCTAAATCGTCGAAATTTGATTTTGAGGAGCAGAAAAATCCTTCTAATAGAAGTTTAACTTTTCAAAGTAGAAACTCCACAAGCAAGTCAAGAGGCTCCCTTACATAATGCATTCTAAACCTGCACAGCTCAAAATATTTCAGATTCAACCTCTCTTTTTCAAATTTTCAATTGCCTTCGTGCTTTTCAACTGTGACTGAATTCTACGTTCATTCTTTTAATGCTTTCCATAAAAGATATAGCAACTAATTACTACGGGAGGACATCTAAAAATGATGAACAATTGAACAGTATCAAATGTTCCAGAAAATAATTTAATTTAATAATGCACACAAAGAAGGCTATATATTCATCAACTCAAAAATTCCCAGAGTCCCTTCACATTAAACTTTGATTCCGGAGGTTCAATTGCTGTAGACTTCAATTCGAGAAATCTTATTAGATCAGGTTTCACTGTGCATCAATTGCGGAAGAATTCCATGGAAATATCCTGGCTTTGTTGTCGGACGGAGAAAATTCAGCAAGAAAAACAATTCAACAGTACAAAGCACAAATCCAGCCATTTCTTTTCTTCGCCACCATAGAAAAACCTTCATGTATATAGAAACGTAAGGAAAACTTATTTTTTCTTATTCTCAAAAAACTGAGGTATTCAATAAGCTGCAAGAGCTTAGTAATTAGACACTCTTCCATTTCAGCAACGTTCGAAAACCTTGTAGAGTTCCTTGGTGTTGGCCAGCTTCAGCAACGTCCGGTCATGCAAATACTTGCCAGGAGGAGCCAACATCTTCTTGAACGCCGGCACCAACACATTTTCCACAGTACGCAAAAACTGCTTGCTCACGGTCCCACGTTCCTCCTGCTCAAAAAAATTGCGACACCGAAAATCAAATAACGAAATATATGCAGCGTTATTTCCGGTCGGGCACCAAAAAAAACCCCGGATTTTACTTTTTTCTAGAGGATTTCACCTTTTCGTTATCAGGAACCACAGCCTTGGAACCGAAGTCCGCGTAGAACTTGGCCAGCTGAACCGACAAGCCGTGGAAACAAGCTTGCTCTTCATCCCAGTCCACTTCCGTGGCCAATTTCGACAGGAACAGCGGCAATTTGTTCACATCCGGACAGAAATCCTCTGCAAATACATACGAAACACGCATTCCCGAGGGGCCGGTAGCAGAATACTTCACACACCAAATTAAAAAATAACGAGCACATTAAACTTACAATTATATTCGAGACACCCAATGCTTAAAAGTTAGAAAATTTTCTTACGCTTATTCAGTAAAATCTCGCTCAAACATCCTCTTGGGTACAAGTTTGTTGGATTGAATAATTTTACATAACAAAATATTAAGATTTTCAAAACTAATAACATTTTCAAATCAGACCTGCCCATAAAGTAATTGGATCTTGTTCTTCTGGCATTCTCAGATTTTTTACTATTGATTGAAAAACTGAGTGATCTTCTAATACAAAAATTAACTTTGATCATGATGAAAAAAAACCGGTCAGTCACATTTGGGTTCAGAAATTTAGATTGTGCCTGTCATAGTCAAGAAAAATTCTACTTGTAGAATCTATCAAACATTCCTCAGATTCCTCAGATAAGTTTGTTAGACATTAATAATTTGGAAGTTTGCTATACAACAAGATTGCTTTAACATTTAATCTTTGGACTTCCTCTCAGGAGTTGAGGAAAAGTTTGTCATACCGTACTGAAACTTTTTTTAGAAGAGATTTTACTGTAATTCCCTCTCCTGGTAATTTCAGTGGGTGGATCGACATGTATACTGTTCCAGGACTCACTCAAAAGAAGCGGAAGGGACACCAAACACCCGGTTTCACTGATTTCAATGGAAAAGTAATCGCTCAGCATCGAAGCCTTTTCGACAAGCATTTGGGCCACAAATTTTGAAATTTCGTCCTTGGGTCCATCGGCCTCCTTCCAGCCAACTTCGGGCAAGTCCCAAGCAATTCTCGCCAATTTCTCAATCGGAGGTGGAGGCTGAAAAAGTTGATCACGCAGGAGAAATAAAAAAAAATTCAAAAACGAACAGGTCTTCGAAGTTACCAAATCTATTCAATGAACTTGGATTTGATTTTTTATGCGCTCTTTAAAAATATGTAATTTTTTATATCCCATTCGTATTCAGAATTTTAAAAATGCTGACGAAATCAACACAAACCTTCAATTCAATTCTCCCGAAATTGCCGAACTCGTACAGCAAGATCTGGTAGAACAATTCTCGACTGAAAACCAAGTCAAATTCGGATTGAATTCCCGATCATATGCTTCTTTCAAATCAATATTCCTTACCTCACAGTGAGAAGATTGCACAAATACAGACAAGTCGAATGCTGGAACAGGAAATGTCTTGCAGATGCACATCCAACAAAACTGGATTCTTGAAAAATCTTGAGACATTCGGGGCTCGTAGCATTTTCAACCTCCACACGAAGCTCCAAAACACTCGTCAATTTGATTTCTCTCCTCAGTTTCCTGATTTATAAAATACAAAGAACCAATCCACTTTCAAACAAGGTTATTTTCTCCAATTCAAATTATTTCTTCACTTCATAGGTGTCTCCTAAATTCTATCCAACATTTCATTCTGAAAAGCTTCCATTATCTAATTTAGTTCAAACGGAGGAATTTCGAATATCCGTCATCAACATTTCATACACAAAAGCATTCTGGATTCCAATTTTCCATTTCAAGTTTCATCCATCAACAGTACAGTATTTTTATTAGAAATGTTGGAAAATAAATCGCTCTCTGAGACTCAGATGATCTCTAAAATTGGAAAACGTTCTTAATGACCCAGACATAAATCATAGTCATTATCCTCATTGACTGTTCCATTCCACAGAATTACGTTAGTGATTCCGGCGACACCTGCATGATAATCCAGAAGGCGAGAAGTGTGGGTTGAAGTAAAGAGATCGCATGTCTATGTATGGTACACTACTAAAATACTAACGCATCGGAAACAAGACTCGTGTCTTTCGAAATTTGATCATTCGAGGCAGTTGGTGCAAAAAATTTGACAATTTTCTGCATCTTCGGATCCGTTCGAACCATGTCATGCGCATATTCCTTTTCAACTTCAGTTCGCGTATCCGGCTTTGCAGATTTCTCAGCTTCATTCGGCTTACCGGCCAACGGCAAGTAAGTCTGCAAAAAAATCGAAAAAAAGGCAATAAACAAGAAAATAAAAACGACAGAAAATAACAAAATCATTATTTTTATGAAATTAAATAAACGCTTTCGACAAACGGAATCAAACAAAACATTTATTACGAAAATAAATTCAAGAAGGCATCAACACCGGTGACATCCAGCAATGGCTGATGCTGGTGCAGAAAAGTTTTGCCAGTTGACACTATAAAAGCTAATTTCTTTGTTCTCCATTTGCGAACAAATCAGCAACGATTTCTTGGTGGTTGTGCCAATTCTGACACGACCCACAAAATCTTGCCAGGGAATTTTTTCGTTCCTTCGTTGACAAACCGCGATGTGAGATGCATGGAATTTAATGGGATCACCGGGATAAACTAGAAAATCCCCGCCGAATTTTTCGCCAGACGTCAAATAATAACCCATTTTCCAGAGCGCTTTAAAAACTGCGTAACGCAAATTTTCTGCGCGATTTCGCGGAAACGGCGAAGACTCAATTTCAACACCGATTTCCGGGTCGTTCCCGCTGGAGAAAATCGGAATAAACTTCTGCTTTTGCGCTGGCATTTTCTCAAACTCATTTCCGAGCCATTCCCGAGCATCCTCCAAACTTCCGGTCTTGCGTTTCTTGCTCAACTTCTCTCGAATAATTTCTTCGCCGTGATTCACCAGCCATTGTTTCCGTTTCTTCACGTACTCCTCAGTCTTCACGGCATTGAATTCTTCCACCAAAGCATCAGTTGTTTCGGCACTTTGTGATGATGATGTACCCACAGAAGTATTATAAGACACCAAGTCGATGACGTTTTCTTCCAAAAGCAACTTGACTTGTTCCGGGAGCAGTTTCACAGGCAATGATACATCCATTGAAGAATTCTTTTGAGCCGTTTGCTGACCGATCGCACGTCCGCAAATCCGCCAATCCATTCGGAGAGCAGTGACATCTTCCGGCCTCCAAAGCAAAGCGTCTTCTCCACACTTATGCACCACAATCTTTGTGTGCGGCGACGGTTCCAGTAATGGTACCTGTTACACCATTTTATCCCTCAAATTTTGTAAAACATATCTAACGAACCCACTTTCTATACAGTATTTACATAATAAAAAAAAATGCTTCAACTAGAAAGAATCTCACCTGAGTGTAAAACGTTCTGGAGCTCTTGTGAGCGACCAGATGGCCGTCGACGATCTGCTGGATTTTCTCAACTAAGGCGTCTTGATGTAGAAAGAAAACTTCGTGTTTCGTGGGATGAACGTTCACGTCCACGTTTTGCGGCGGCAGTTCGAGGCTCAGGTACATAAACGGATGCGAATGTTTGGGCAGATACGTCGAGTAGATCTCTTCCAATCCTTTCCGAATTGCTGCATAAAAATCATGAGAATATGTTGTCAAGACGACAAAAACAACTTCATTCAATCAAAGGACGGAAACGAAGAAGCAATGGACCCATTTTTAGGCAGCAATGAAGCTAAACATTTCAAAAGAGGATTGAATTCAAGCACAAAATAAAAGCAACATAAATCATGCAAAATATGAATGTAATCGGTGCTCTTATTGTCCCTAAGTTGGACCACGTTTTCCCATAAGCTAGGAACAGTTTTATTTGGTTCTCCTATATTCATCAAAAATAAGAAATAAAGTCTCCAAAAAATTTAAAAAAAAAACGTTTTTCGAACCTCAAGACCCTAAAATAATGGCACAAAAGAAAATCCCACAGAATCTGATCTTTTGGCATCCGAGCAAAAAATAAGCACTGGTCTTCCTATACTGCTCACACATGATAAAAAATGAAAATAAAAAGAAACTACACAATCAGCCAGTTTATGGTTATGATTTAAGTATTTTTATGACATTTATTTTTAATTTTAATGAATATAAATAACTCAATTTCTTCAAGAGATTTACAAATATTGAAAAATTAAAATTGTCTATTTATTCAAGAAACGTTGGAAAAAATTTAAAATGTTGGGGCATTTTTTTTTATCAAATTCAAGTCGAACCATCTGCATGTCGGGGCGTCCGTACGCCAGGGCCCCACTGTATTTAAATTCACTTTATATATACATCAAGAAACTTTACCCACGGAATCAACCAAGCGATGGTTGATGAAGAGAAGAAAAGTTAGCTTCTTGCTGGAGTAATTGGCATTCGTAACGTAGCCTTCCAATTTGAACTTCAGGTTGACATCCTCCACCTTGATCGCCACCACTTCTCTGAAAAAGAAACAGTATCATCAGGACTCCAGAAGACAAATAAAAAAATAATAATCAACTTCAACCTTGAATGGGCAATAAGCTCAAATATACGCTGTATACCTGTACTGTATACAAAATAAATAATCGCTAGCATGAAAATACTGTACGCCTAATTTATTTCAACCAACGCGAATTTTCACTGAAGATAACCAATGTGCGAAAAAGAGAAAATTCCGAGAAAACGAAGCACCGTGAATTCCACCATCCGCACCAATAACAAAAAAGAGCCATTCGAATCTCCTTCATGAAAACTTGGTCAAAATTTCTTGAAAAAATGGTTTCAAGACGAGTTCATAAAGGGTCGTGTCATTTCCAGGTCACAATCAATCACATCCTGCGACTTGGCCCACTCGTAAAACACGTTAAGCGCATTCCTCACAGCATCGTCCATGTCAAAGTATTTGTAGGACGCCAATCGTCCCACAAAAACCACCCCAGACTCATTTTCCGCCATGGCCCGGTACTTTTCATACAATTCCCTGTTCCTGGGATTCGGTACCGGGTAATAGGGCTCACCATGGTCTGAAGACGTTTCGTGATACATGACACTCGTTTTCGGAATAAAACTGTCGCTATCGTACTCCTGGTTTGGCAAGTGAACGTACTCAATTGTACGAGTGTACGGGATCTTCAGGTGCGGGTAATTCACTTGCGACACCGGCTGGTAGAACCCGGATTTTTCAGTCACATTATGTTCTTCTCGAGTGAAGGTGAGTGTGCGGTATTCCAACTTGTCCAACCCTGGGATCATCGTTCAAAATATCGTTCAAATTCTTATAAATGTGTTTTCAGAAATACAACGAACACGACACTTTTAGCGGGGAACCTTGGCTCTTTTTAAATGAATTTTTCCCGCAATCAAGCAGAGGTGCAAAACCCAAAACATGAGATGAATTTCTCTATCAAAAAGCAGGACATCAATTTCGGCTACTTTCAATTTCGAAATTTAGAACATTCCCTACTTTAACCTGTTCGTAAATTTATTCTCTTATGCATAAAAATGCACTGAAAACGAATAAATAAGAATTCAGTGTCGAAATTCGATCAAAACTAGGCATAAGGAGAGGAAAAATCAGGTTCTCTGTCGAATTAAAACATTTATCGTGAAATCAAGAATAGTATTAAAAATAATTTTCCCTAACACAGTAAATCTCGTTACAACAAATTTTTTAGTTGTGAAACAAACTTTTTTTCAAGTCCCAATAGAAAGTCCATTGAGTACATGTTAAAACAATCTTGTTATAAAAAACATCCCAATTCCAGTATACCAAACTTTTTAGAGGAATGGTTAATAGTTTTTCCAGGGAGAAATTTCCTGACTATGACAGGCAATCCCACACATCAATCTCCCAAAATTAAGAAATTGGTGCAACAGATGGAATGCATGAATTTAATTTTTTTTATCAGAGGATCGCTCAGTTTTTCAAACGAACAAAAATAAAAATTCTGATAATTCCAGAAAACGCAAAATCTAATCGATTATAGGCAAGTCTGATGTGAAAATTTTCTCGAATCATATTAATTTGGAAAATCTCATAAGAATTATTCAGTATAAAAAAATTTCTGCTGTCTTCAGAAGTTTGTTGTGACGAAATTTTACTTCATGATCTAAAAATTAGTCATACATCCATTAGGTCACGCGGGTTTTTTTTTATGTTAACCCCGCTAACTAAGTCGTTTGGAACCAGTCTCTTTATTTTCAGCTAGCCGGGTCACATTTTGCACTTCAGGCCTGACGGCTTAGGAAGCTTTGGAACGGATTTTAGTTTCAAGTCCACATTCAACCGCACATCAACCTTAGGATGCTTCAACATGTTCCTAAAGATCTCAGTGTAGCCCCTCGAGGGCAAGGCCTGATGCTGATCAGTAAAATACCGATCATCGTCGTCAGTTCGCACAGGGATCCGTTCCAACACACTGGCGTCCAGTTGCTCGGGATACTTGTTCCACTGCTTCCACGTGTAGCCCTCGAAAAGCAACTTGTACAACTCGGACCCAACCCGGGCCTCGGCAGCTTCCTTGCCATTCTTGGGCTTGCCAGACGCGGGTTTCACTTGCACACCGCTCAGCCACTTTTTCATTGCGCCTTCAGACTTGATGCCGAGTTTGTAGAGGTCGTTGACAGTGTGTATGTTCACCGGGACGGAAACGAACTTGCCAGTCTCCAGTTTGGCCAAGGCCCGGTGTTCATACGGCACCCAGTCCGTGAATTGACTCAGATACCTTGAATCAAGGGATTTTGGTTTTCTAAGAAATATGCTCAACATGTTCTTTGATATTGACAGGTTCTTTCTTAGCATGCGACCAACCACAGAAAACAGACTTCTGAATCAGATCTACATTTTACTGTGCTATAATTGTTTCTCACAGTTGTGTATTGGGTTAGATACATGGGTGTTAACTACAGTACTTATATTTATGCGCTTGTTTGCGTAAGTTAGGATCCAGGTGAGATGAATAATGTATACAGGTATTTAAAGACTAACTAGATTTCATGTTCAGTTAGTTTGACACTAAATTAGGTAAGGTCAGGTAGGTACTACAATATGTTAGGTTAGGTCAGTTAGGTACTAGGGCAGGTTAGGAAAGTCAGGTATCAGGTTAGCTTGGGTTGTCAGGTTTACAGTACAGCTGGCTAAGGCTTAGGTACTTTAGGTAGGAGTTAGGTACTGTACTAGGTTAGGTTGGGGTGCCAAAGTAGCTTAGCTAAGTATTTAGCATTGGGTTAGAAAAGCTTAAAAATGTACTTCAAATCCCTTGAAATTTGGAAATTAATTACAAATCAGTTGCAGATCATCATCAGTTCAATTTTTTCCAGGGTCAGTCATTTAATAAACAAACACAACACCGCAGTGGCGTAGAGTATTTTGCAGCCATGATGGGTCACGTAAAATAAGGTGCTCCTTTTTTCATGCAAGTACTATATGAGTAGCAGTACTTATCGTATGTTTGCTCACCTCCAGACCGCGTCGTCGACAGTATGAAAAATGTGAACCCCATACTGATGCACTCGGATCCCGGTTTTAGCATCAATGTAATCGTGGCAATTCCCTCCAATATGGTCCCGCTTCTCGACAATCGTAACGCGGACATTTTTGCACGTTGACGTGAGCCTTTCGGCCATGATGGATCCACTCAGCCCGGCTCCAACAACCAGGACCCGGGTTTCACGCGGGTTCCGCATGAGCCGAAAGATGTTCCAAAAGCCAAAAATTGCGACGGCAAATCCGGCAGCATTGGCCAGTCGAGAGAATGGGATCATCGGCATCTTTTTGCTAACCGAACGCATCTCCGCTTTATTTTTTTTTCGGCGCAAAAATTGACGAGAGTTAAATTACCATTTGACGCAGGATTTTTAAAACACTGTTCGCACTTTTGATTTTCCTCGAGTTGAAAGCGTTTCAGGTGACAACTGAGTTGTCGACAGAAGACCAACTCAGGGAAAGAAAAGCGAGTTTCCGGCTTACAGCCGAAAAAGAAAATTACAAATCACAAAGAGGAAATATGCGGGTCACCTCCGCAAAAAACAAAAAAAAGAACATAGATGCCTCTTGTGGCGAAGCATTTTTGGAAGATTTTACCGCTGATACATGATTGCTATACCAGAAATGTATCGAAAATTTTTGCAATGCCCTGAAAATTGAAGTTTTTTTCAGTGTACCAGTTTCTTTGTCAGACCCCTCTGTTATCCTAAAATCTTAAAAAGATGTTAACAATAAGATTTCTTTAAGTCACAGTTAGCTTTAAGTAAATGCAAACCACAAGGTCTTTTGGCAAGTTTACTACCAGCCTTGTGGCTCAGGTAACAACTCTTGCCTTCGCTAATTTATGTAGGTATTTTTCTTTGTGAGTTAGGATTTTATAGAATAAATCAAGATAGACTAAAGCAGTCAGGACAACAGTTTATTGCTACACACAGTGACACCAGTTATTGGTATAGTCTCTGGAATGCGAATGCTCTCTGTTGTACAATGATGCGCAGCTTGTAAGGGGAATGGAATATGGGCTGGCAGCAGGTTGTTCAACTAGCTGACTGTCCCATAAAAACAAAGAGGGTAACGAAGACAGCAATGCGCAGCTCACTGTTCAAAACACAGGTGAATGGGAATTTCATACTTCACAATCCTCCAAGACAGCAAAGTGTGGCTCACAGCACAGCACAGGTGAATGCACCTGTGCTGGCATTAATCCTCCCCCAGCTTGGACTGGTACAAACACCAAGAAAAGGAAAGGAAAAGAGGGGAGAGAGCAACTCAGGCAGGGAATCCAGCTAAGCTGGTTTCCCGAAATTAAGGTTATCACCTCTGAAATGATGTGTGATAATTCTGATGAAGAACGCGATTTGCAGCAGAAAGGCTCTAGATTTTTCAAATATTTTCCTCGAAAGCGTTCATAACTTCTGGTTCAACAATCGATATTTCACAGCAAATATCAAATTGAACCTCTTCACAGAAAAATTGCGAAGATTCGAAAACGTAGTAACAAACGTCAACTTGGTTTTGACATCCAAGAAAACGTTTTAGACAGTGATGTACTTCGATTTTTCAATCACAAAAAGGTTGGTGGCACTTACACTGCTTGAAATTTCAGATTTCGATATGAACAAAAAGTATTTCTGAGTCGAAGTGATTCAAATCTCCCTTTACATTAAGGACAATGAAATCATTCCAAATTTATGAAAAAACCCTCGTACATCACATAGCGGATGACAAGGCATTTTCAGCAAGAAAAAGAAAAGATGAACATTTTTTTTAGATAGACTTGAATGAAGCTATAGCGACTAGGTATCTACCAAGATTCCAACAGTTCCTGACAGCTTAAGCCGCCCCAAGACTGTAGACGAAAGCGAAGGGGTTAGAAGAACTGCGTCTTTCCAACGGCTGCATTATGAATGGCATACTTGCTGACCTACGAAAGCAACAACATTCGAAAAACACATCAGCCGATCAAATGAAATGAAGCACTGCATGCACAAATAACTTACGACATCGGCAATTTTCCCGTACTCTTCGTTGGCCAATGAGTTTCGCGACGCTGCGCAGCTGTGTAACATTTTGTTCAGAAGCTGCAAATAGTTCCAAGGATGACAAGGACGCGTCCCAACTCCGCCAAGAAAGTTAAGAGGTAGACTTATGCTACGAGACCGAAAAAAATTATGATCCCAGAACAAAAATTTCTCGAAAATTTCATTTTTAATATTACCTGTAAGCGCACTTGTCGTCAACAGTCCTCGTAGTGATTGTGACATGGGCAATATGTGTGATACTGGCCAGTGCTTCTCCACGGAATCCGTAAGTGGCAATTGAACTCAGGTCAGCGAACTCCTTCAATTTGTTCGTCGTGAAACGGTGGCAAACAATGGGCAAGTCTTCCCGTCGAATCCCGCTGCCATTGTCCTGAATTCGCAACACCTTCAGACCACCGTTTTTCACCGACACTTGAATCGACGTCGCACCAGCGTCCAAACTACAAAAAAAAGTCGAAAAGAAAGAATTATTTCAGTCTTTAAATACATTTTTAGACGATGAATGACGACCGAGGTATGGGATAGTATAAACGTCACAGAGGTCGAGTAGGTATATAAAGGACCCCGTCGGTGGGCACAAAAAAAGGAAAGAAAAACAATGAGATCCCGGTCGATGAACCCCGGCTCACGTAGAAGCATCCATAATTCTTTCACGTTCCAGGCTTTTGTTCCCAGCCATGGACAAAAGGCCGAGAAACATCCGCGGATTAACCCAAAAAGTCGTCATCAACTTTTACAAATGTTCCGGCTTTTGCTATCAGATTTACAATACAAATTTTAGTATTCTACAGCTGCTCTTTTGTTTCAAAATTTCTAAAGATTTAAATTTAAATGAATGATCGGATTTCAAGGTGGCAGCAAACAAACTCACGTTGGGGAAGCAACAATTTGCTTTGAAGAAAACGAAAAAAAATAGCAGGAAATTGCAATGGTGAGATTCTGGGCCTTAAATTGCTTCCAGAATGAGTTGACTGGATGCTGAACTTGAGAGTCAAGGGTTCATTTGCCCAATTAGCCATTAACTTCTTCTCAAAACAGATTCAGCTACATTTCATTTCTTATATATATACTGTGTCAATAAAATAGCGAAGGCCTCCAGAAAATTCGAGTTATGGAGGTTTTTGAAGAATAAACACCAAGGGAATTCAGACAAAGGCTTGAGAAAAATTCGATAAAGGGAGGTTCGGGTCATCGAGGATCAAATGAAATAAATCTTCATCCGAAAGCTTCTCTACTTCGCGTTAAGCTCTATGGAATTTTTCCGTCTACGTAGATGTCACTCGCAGCTGCTATAACATTTCAATTCCTCACTTTCGCGTCACATGCTCATTTGCTTCTGCACGAAAGATGCTTCAGATAACTACTTCATGATAAATTTTCACATATTTTCTGCCACCATCAAAATCTTCCAAATGAATTCGGATGAAACGAAGGTTATTAAAAATGGGACTCACCTGTTTTCCAACATCTCCTTTACCGCATTTGCAGGTCGCTGGAGCACTTCACCGGCAGCGATCCTGATCACCACGGCCTCGTCCAATTTTCGCACTATGCCAGGCCGACTGGCCATTAGTATTCACGCACGAAACTTCGCACACTTACAAATAACTTCTGTAAATTTGCACAACAAAATTCACCTGAAAATCCGTCAAAGTTTTGCACGCAAGAAAGATAAATCTCGACCAGTTAGTCCTACCCTAGTCCAAGGCGAGATCTCGAAATAAAATTTTTGCGAACAAATTGACGATTGGCGAAAACCGCAACATTCGCTAGACCAAAAAAGAAAAAAAAAGAGAGCTTCACGTAATAAACAGAAAAGTGAACGGAAGATGAAAAGAAATCGCATAATCTTTGCGTCCAATGTTTTTGCTCCACCCGGGGAAACTTTTCGAATGTATGCATTCATCACCGTAGAAGTGAGAGTCTCTGACGTATTTCTGCACCGGATAAACGCCCCCGGGCTTTAACTGATTTCGGGGTTGGCAAACTCCGTTTCAACTCTTGTTTCTCCCACAACTCAATATCGTGTCGGGCTTGATCGAAATCCTTGTAAAACCTGACCAAGTTTTCAAACAAGGGCTTCACCATCTTCACGTCCGGTTTCTCCTCGCCAAAATATTCCAGCATATGCAGCAAAGTCTCAAAAACGGAGTCGTAAAAGCTTGACATGTCGGATAAAGCGGACGATGCGCGGGCGTGGAATGTTCGCACATTTTCCAAGCACCTATTTCGGGTTACACTTCCGGGTTCGTCGGGGGGATCGCGTCGAGGGGTTATGGAAGTGTTGAGGGTTCGCAAACCCGGGCCTCGGTCTCCGGATGAACCAACACTTCCGGCTCTGCTTCGTCGCCCGAGTTTCTTGGGACGGCCAAAAACCGAGATACAATATATTAAACTAGGGACTGGATATACCTCGTCTCGATTTTATTTCAACCTGGTTCAACAAAAATTTCAATATTTATAATTCTGATAAAATCACGTCCAACTCTAGATCCAAATAATTATAGTAGATTAAAAAATTANACAAAAGATTGCATTGTCATCAGTTTCTAAGCTATCCTGAAAGTTTCAGCTTGCTAGCTAGTCTGGAAGTGAGTGAAAGTTGAGTTTCAAAATTTGATCTGGACAAACAGACGGACAAACAGACAAACAGACAGACAGACAGACAAGAAAAGTGAGTTCATAAAAACGTGGTAAAAAGGGAAGCGCCTGTTTGACAGAACATAATTTGCCATCGCTTTTCGTAGGTGCACGTTTTTAGAAAAATTTCATAGCCCAATTCTTGAACATTATATTCAAGAAAATGACAGGATTATCTGAGCATAAATTACAGTCATGTACTTACGTACAGTAATAAAACACATGAAATGTCCCGAAAGTTGTACAACAAAATTGCATGAAAGACAAATATAAAATTTTGATCTCACAGGAGATGCGGACATCGCTGGAGAGTTTCTAGGACGATTCCCTGAGTATTGAGTATCACTTCGACTCGCAGTTGGAAGCAATGCGATCCTTCTAGAAACCGGTTTCTGTGTTCGAACAGGGGTGATTTTCACAGGGGACTGCAGCGAAATCGTTTGCACAGTTGAAGCTTGAACATCAGTTTCACTGATAACCAAAAAATGAAATAAAAATGTGATTTTTCATCGCCTGGATCATTTCAGAAGAACGTACTTGAGATTTTTAGCAGGAAGATCCTCCAAACAATTCTCAAGCTCATTTTTCACAGTATTCAACGAGTCGGAAATGTCATTGAGCTGCTTCTTCAATTCTGCGACACAAATGGCAGCAGCCGGTTCAATGTCACGGATTTCTTCCGGGAATTCCAAACATTCAGGAAAGTGAACCGCGACGAAACGAACCACGAAATGCAGCAAAGTGAACTGAGGTCTTATCAACGATTTCAAGCCAGAAAACGCGGGTAAGCTGTTAAAATCATCGTCATCCAATAAAAAATGTTTGCCAAATAGCATTTCAAAAAGATGAAAACGCAGACCTCGAGACAAAAAATCCCCAGGCTTGCTTTGGTCTCATGGAACTTCGATTAGAAGCATCGAAAATAGTTCCAATCGCGAACAAAATCTCGAGAATGCGCTTCAACTTATGCGACTTCATCACGCAATCAGCAGCTCTCGTGAGACGATTCAACTTTGGTCCTATCACGTCGAAATTGCTCTAAAAAATTGGTCGCGAAAAGTCGTTCAAAATTGAAAAGCTCGTAGAAAAAAATTATTTAAATTATCTTGACTCGCATCGAAGCTCGCCATGCTTTCCAAAACGCCCCATTTTTCACTCAGTCGCCTGACTTGGCTCAACTTGAAGAAGAATTGGTCTTCTTTCGAAAGGGTGCGAATATCGCCGCCTTCCGAAGCAAAATTCCGGTAAATATCCATTTCTTCTTGAGTTGGAACCATTTGAGACAAGGCTTCCAAGGTCTCAAAATGCAAATAATCCGCCGCCATGTTTTCAATACCCTTCACAATCGCGTCCACGGGATTCTTCAACCTGAACCGCGCACATTGAAAAATACTTCCCCCACTTCCGAAACAATCCCACTAACTTCCTCATTCCTATTTCAATGTTCCTGTGCCTGTTGGGCTTCAGCAGACATTTACCCAGCTTTTTTGCACTGGACTTCACTAACGCGTTGGCAGGCGTGGAATTTCCGCGAATTCGAACCGTGTCACCTTCAGCTGTTGGCTTCTTCGCAAAATCTTTCGCCAATTCTTCCAGGTTCACGGAATCCCAAACTTTCTTTGTTTCCGCTTCGGAGAAGACGGATTTCTTCCCGGGTTGCTTTGATATCACTTTCCACACCAGGGAAACAAGGGGAACAGCCGACTTTGGGGCGTCCGCATCTAAATCATGATGAATTTGAATTTAGTCCTCAATAGTCACAGTATGAATCCATGTACTTGGGGGAGGGTTCAAGGTCGGTAATGGTATTGAACTCCCAGGAAAAGGTGGTGGAGGTGGCGGAGGAGGAGGAGGAGGCGGCGGCGGTGGTGGTGGCGGCGGCGGCGGGGCAGGAGGCGCCATCACTATTACCGGAGGCGCCTTTTCGAGTTTAACCACTGGATCACTCAACTGGGTTAATCCTTCAGTAACTGCCTTCTCCAATAACTTATCTCCAACAAGACTTGGATCAGGAAATTGACAAGCTACTTCTTTCATTTCAGCGACGACCAATGCTTGAGTCTCCGAGGCGGCTCCAAGATCCCAATCTTTGTTTACCTTTTCAGTTTGCTCGCGAACCTGAATTATTCGAGGCATATCGTCTCATAGAACTTCTCAGTAAAAAAAATTTAGATATAAATGGATTACTTTGAGTCGGATTTCGAAGGACTTGTACAAGTTTTCAAGGTATTCAACCCTTTTGGACAGCTCGACTTCAACTGAAGGATCCACAGAAGAGTAAGTTGAATCCACGACGGTCTTCTCAAACCCAAGGGAATCCATTTCGGCGTCCAAACGATTGCCCATTTGCTCCAGAGTTCGTATTCGACTCGGAAGAGGTACGATCTGAGGCCTAACACGAACATGAAAGAGATGTTTCCAACGGATCGTCAAAAATCGGACATTCAAGATTCTCAATAGGAGGCCGACAATGCGATAATGTAATACTCGTTGAAAAGTTATGGAAAAAAAATGAGAAAAGGTTCGAATGTTCGTAATGGAAACCTTAGAAAGGATTGGGAAACGGATTTCTCATCCCGACAAGTGTTGTTCAAACGGCTGCAGCGAGATTCGACCCGAAAATACTTGTTTTCCTCTTTCAAACGCGAATTTTCTTCAAGAACATGTCGCAGACGAGCTTTGCAGGATACGTCCATGTCCCTACAAACCAAACAATACCCAGCGTGCATAGCCTCCACATGCGACAATTGTTCTTCTAGCCGTCTGTGAAAAAGGTTTAAAAAGCATTCGAATACTGTAAAATATACAAGCAAAACTTATTCGTGTGAAGGGGAAACTTCTCATAAATGTCGAACATCAACGGACCAACAAAAACAAAATTTAGATTAACAAGCATTTTTGTTGAACAAAGAAAGGAAAATAACAGGAAATAGTAATCGGTGATATTCTCCAAGTTCAGACAGGATGCTGAACTTGGAGGCGAGAGCTAATTTGCCCAATTAGTCTTCCACTTCCTCTCAAAACGCATCAAGTTACATTTTTATCGCCTCTATCTTTCCTGTGGCAATAAAATCCCCAGAAGGCCCCCAGAAACTTCAATTTATGGAGGTTTAGAGAGGGAAAGCCTTTGAGTTAGAGAGGCTTACAATGGATTATTTCAAGGGAACTCAGACATGGAGAAAGTTGAGCTATCGAGGTTCAACCGTACTTGTTCGCCATCCCTGATTTTCTCAAAGCTTGCGACAGGGAACTAATGGCAATACGATCCAAGCCAAGACTTCCGAGATCGATCACGTTTTTAAAAAACGCCACAACAGCGTCTTTCAAGGCAGGTACAATGCGAACGTTGAATTCGCCGTTTTTGATGCACTCCAAATAACTAAGTATCCCAGCTTCATCCAATTTGACCTAATACAATTTAAAAATAAACAACAGTTGACCCGAAGTCAGAAGAAAATGCCACGAAGAGGAACGTCGATGCACCTCTAGACTTTTCATGCATCTCCAGATTCATATTGTGCTTCGTCAGTGACAGTCTTCTCATTCCAAATCTTATACAATACACTAACCTGGCAAGTGATCCTGTGTTTGAAACTCTCGTTGAAATAAGCGACGACATTCAGAAAGTGGACCAAAGAAACAGCGCCCCTCAGGTATCCAGAGTTTAAGAACTCGCTCAGGATCGTGCAAAAAGGTGCAAAAACGTTGCACCCATAGAACATTTCCGTCTCCAGGTCCCAGAGGCTTTTGACAACGGCACGATGCCCAGCGGGAGTCACGGCCAAAGACACCAAAGTTTCCAAAATGATACACTTTGTCTCGTATTTGACAAAGTAGAAACAAAACATGAGCAAACGGACGGCAGTGAGGGAACTCCGGACTGCGATGGCGTTTCCGGCACGGGTGCAAACAACAGCTTGCACACAGAGTAAACCCAGGTGCATTTCATACAGCACCGTTTCCGGAAGAGACTCCTCTGAAATTACAAATAAGAATTATATTTTTTTTAAATCAAGATCCACTAAATTCAGGGAATATCCGTTTCACCAGCACACGCTCTCCCACCTCCCTTTCATCCTTTGCTTTTTGGGGACAACTATTTTCTGGTTGAAGTACAAAACCTTAAAATAGATAAAAACAATAAGTTTGATTTGATTTACTTCAGATTATTTTACTTTTGGTCAGTCATGCTGGGCTAATTTACGTTTCTTCTTCTTTAGCGAATTTTCTCAAGAAAAACATTATACAAAAAAGTTTTCGAAAATTACTTTCAGACGTCCCCGAAAATCAAAAATAGAAAGATCATTCAATTCACTTGCCATCAGCAACGAAAAAAAAGCCTGCAAATTCCTTTTCCTCAGCGCTTTCCATTACGACGCATTTTTGTAAATTTGGAAAGTTTAATTACTGCAGCTCTTATCTGATAACGAAAAATGCATTTCCTCTATTCTTGAAATTGAAGTCTCGTTAATTAAAGAATTGGCTCTGCCTTGCACGAAAAAAATTGGATTATTTACAAAATCGAATCGCATCTCACCATCCAAAAATTTTGGGCCGTGCTTCAAAAAATCAATCGAAGACAGCCGATGCAACGGCAAAACATTCTGCTTCTGCTGCAGAAAATTCAACAAGGCGCAAAAGCCCTGACCATTTTCCCCGATGTAATCAGCGATCCAATAATCCGGTTTATTTCGCAAAGTCTGTTCAATTTGCGGCAACAAGAATTCCGGTTGGGGTAACGAACGAGGTATTCTTGAAGACCTTTCGAAGCTCAAGTCAAACAATTCCCTTTCTCCCAAAAATCAATATCTCGACGACGGAATTCTCACCAGCAAAGCGCTTTTTCATTCCGCGCGTCTCTGAATTCCAAGTCACCAGAGAAAAACGCGAATCTAGGCAATGAAGCTTCGCAAATTCGCCGCAAAAGCGTGTCTTCGTCTTCTTTTTCGCACGTTTTCCAACACAACGGCAACCTTTGTAAGTTCGGCTTCCAATCCTGAATAAAACAGAGAAGCTCATAACTTATTTTTTTCTAAAAAAAATCTTTACACAAGACCCCTTTTCCTCACCGCCATAACCGAATGTGGTATGCGGGGAAGCGTGTTCTTGTAAACTAAATTTCACTAGAAGTACGAAGTAGGACCAGTAGAGGGTAAGATTAATTTTCTCTTGGTTTCTCAATGCATCGTCAATCGCAGAATGAAGCACGCAGGATTCTGGGAAAATAAACAACGAACGGCTTTTTCGATACTAGAAGGCATAAAAGTGAAACGGAATTTGGAACGTGAAGACTTCAATAGTTTTTAAATGACGATACGAACGCCACACGTGAATACAGATTCCCGCGAACGTAACCCAACGTCAATAAACTATGCATGCAATTCTTGTTAAAATTATTTCACGTGAAGGTGGAACTAGGTGAATACATCATTGAACAGTTACAAGCTTTTAGGCAACTGGAACATTGGAGTAATTTATCAACATTTCTATAACGTAGATCTGAATCTGTTGGGAGAGGGCGCCTACATTTCTTTTCAAAAGGAAGTGATTTTAGCTTTGAATCGACCGACAATTTTCCTACTCCAAAACATATCCCATAATTGAATGTTTATTAATCCTCACGATGAAAACATGGAAGAGAGCCAGAAACTTGAAAACTCACCAACCCAAGAAAGAAAATCCCCTTCCTTGTTTGTGATGCATCACACACAAAAGCACTGAACTTCCTGAAAAAATTTCCAAAATACAGTAAAATTGCATAACAACAAATGTTTCAGTAAAACAAACTGTTTCTTCAGTCCTGACAGAAATCCCATAGAGTACATGTTACACTAATTTTATTGTAACTAATTTCCCTATTGCAGTATTTAAAAAGTTTTTTCGACGAATATTCAGTAGATTGTCTAGGTAGGAATTTTCTTACATGCACAGTTAGAAATTTCTGATCCCAAATCTGACTGCCTGGTTCTTGTAGCATGAACAGAAGCTGTAATCAATTACAAGCATGCTTCGAAGTGGTTCCATCATATCATTCTCCCAGAGAGATGAAGAGATTTACGCAACTGATGGAATAAGTGTTTGAAGTTAATTTTTGTATCAGAAGACAACTCAGTTTTTCAAACAATATAACTGACAACATCTGAGAATGCCAAAAAACAAGATGTAAATGATTATACGTAGGTCAGATGCGAAACCTTTTCCAGTCATTAATTTTGAAAAATCTCATTATAATGAATTATTCAGAATAATAAACTTTTCTGAAGTCCCAAAAAGTTTCTTGTAGCAAGATTTTACTGGAGCCACAAAATTCAAGCATCAAATATCGAATACCTGACTTGAAAAAAATATTTCTTCCAATATTAACAGCTTTATAAAACCCTTAGATTTCGGGAAAAAGATCCCGCAAGAGGACAGATGTACACGGCGTCACGCGTTCAGTGCCACTAGCGTACAAGTGCAACGCATGCTTCTTCCCACTTAGATAAATCTTATTCGCGCAATGATCTAAGCCGCTTTCCGTCGGCCGGAAACTCGGAGGAACAGCGGGCATTCTTGGCTTAGCATAAGTACACGCCATAACTGCAAACAAATGCGCTGTCATATACGCGTCATAACCGGAACGATGCACTCTTTGACTCTGATCCGAATCCTCATTCCCTTGAGAGCTCTTTTCCGTCGCGGAACAAATCGGTACTTCGCCATTTAGCTTCGAATCTGAGTCGTTTTGCGGTTCGGAAGACACTTCCGTCTCTTTGTTAGCATCTGCAGCAAATTTCAGCCTTCGTCTTTCCCTTCTTCGCTCTCGACATGTTTTTCGTACTTCACCGGCTTCGCCAATTTGTGGTTCAGAAGACTCTTCCGCCATTCTTCGCTCGTTTGATGCTTCTCGCATTCCACCGGCTTTGCCATTTTGTGGTTCAGAAGAATCTTCCGCTTCTCTGTTCAATTTCCTCTTTCGTCTTTCCCTTCTTCGCGCTCCTGCTGTTTTCGGCATTCCGCCGGCTTTCTCCCACTTGAGTACGTCGTCAATATCGTGAGAATTCGGACACTTGGGGGATTTTCGGCAAAAGCCATGAAGTGCGTATGATTCGCACACTTCAACAGCTGCTCCTGAAAACAGGAATAGAAAAAAACGATTGTTTCTTCGCACAAATTCGCGTCAACAACGATAAAGTACTCACCCTTATTTCCAGTGACATCCTCAACAGTCACCGGCAATACTTCCAGATGCGGATAATTCACAGGAAACTTCGGGAACAGAAATATCACGTGATTTTTCCCGTTCTTCATCTTGTCCTCGTTGATGCTCATTATTTTTCGATACAAGTACAGTAGATAGGTCACGTCCATTCGAGCGACGAACTCGGAAATGTACTTGGTGTCGTATAAGCCCCCTTCCTTGACGACTTTTCCAGGAGCACAGATCACGGAGTACATGTCATTTGCAAATTTCCTCAGGTCAATCGGCAGTTTGGGTCCAAGAAAATGTCGAAAGAGGAAGGAAGCATCCACCAGGCCATTGTGGCAGACCATGGGTACTCGCTTTCGAATAATGTCCATGATCAAATCCCTTATCTGTCAAGAAAAATCAGATGCTTATAAATGAAATATTTCACGTCAGCAACAGAGTTTCCCCAACAAACCTGCGGATGATTAGCAGAAGAATCCGGGGCACCACGAAAATATGGCACGCCAAAAGCCAATTGCCGATTGAAGTCGAACCCATTTCTGATCAAAAAATCCGCCGCCTTTGGATCTGTCACGAATGGATCCTGACAAGAACACAAGATGTCGAAATTTTGCGCCAGAAACGTTCGACTGTAATGTGGCACATCTCCTTCCTTGGGTTCATTTTGTGGGAAAATTTCGTGTGACGTAAGGAATCGTACGAAAGAAAGACCGAGGGATAACACAGAACGCGAATCAGCAACCTCGCAAATTTTTTCATAACGGTGGTCCAGGTCCCATAATGACAAGTCTCGCGGGTTCCCAATGCCTGAAAGCTCAAGATCGAACGCGACGAATGCTGCGTTTGAAATAGCTTCTTTTAACATACCCTGAAGCTCCTCCCAATTGCCTCGATGAATCTGGAAAAATAATAATTCTACGGTGAGCTTCGTAAAATAAATGAAAAATGATGAATCTCACCTGCACGATGGGAATTCCATTAGCTGCTGATGTCATCTTCGCAAGTAAGATGGCCTCGATTCTGAAACGAGAAAATCCTTTAAATATCGTCGACATAAAAAATACATGCGAAAGGTAAAAAACACATAAATCACCGCACAAAGCTCCATACATTTCCATATACCGTATGTTCCGCAAATAAGATATCTTTGGCAACGCATTCCATTTTTCGGCACAACCAGCAAATCAAATCACAATGCAGCACAGAACACCATCAAATAATGAACTGAACACATAATTTTGCACACCGTTAAAGCTCGACAAGAAACAAGTAAAGCTCAAGCTGCAAGCAATTCACTTGATCGTAGTTTTGGTACGGTATTCAGTTTGAATCCAGATATCCACTTATCCCAAACGCCACGTTTTCGTCTCCATAGGGGTTCGTTAAATAACCCAATTGCCAAAGTTCTCCGGAAACCACCACTGGAATGAAAATCAAGTTTTCAAAAAATTCGCAGAATCCGAAAAATTGAAAACTTACGCGTTTGATTTTTTCGCAAAGTCAGGTGAATTTCTTGACAAACTTCAGAACACGACTTGACAGGCGTCAACCTGAGATCCATTTCACCTTTTACTTGAGTCAACACAAAAAACGTGGAGGAGAACGGCACGTCTTTGTAAACCCGCGAAAAGTACATGGAGGAAATGAACACCCAGTTGGTGTCTGACAAGTCCAGAGAGAGTGGGAAAACACTCAGACGAGAGTAAAATTTTCGAAGCGTTTTTATCTCTGGGGTTTCACAATTTTCCCTACGAAAAATAAATTTTTCGTAAATTCAACAGAAGCTGATGTCCCGAAATTTACTCTGAAGCTTACCAATGCATGAACCACGGAGTAATCGCATTTTTCGTCGCTGCTTTGGCGGCATCGATGAATTCGAAGCGATTCGACTTGAGGTTTGTCATCAACTTACAGACAACAGGTCCTCCATTCGTCTTCATCACGTCGACAAACGAGTCAACAATTGTTGAGACTCCAAAGTCAAGATCTTTTACAGGCTTCCATTCATCTAATCCTCCAGAAATTATGAACGGAACGCGGAAATTCAAAGCATCCGAAACGTTTTCGATGTCTGCATTCTCCCACACTGAAACAGCATCATGCACCTCGCAACTCTGTGAATCAACAAAATGTTCGAGACAGTTAATTCATATCATGAAAGATCAAAATTATGAAAAACCTGGATCTTACCAAGCAATTCTCGATTCGGGAAGTGGATAAACCAAACGCCCGATTTTTCCAGATGCACTGAGAGTAATAAAGCGTGGTCCAATCGAACCACGGAAGAAACTGAAAAAAAAAAAGATTAAAAACTGGAAATGTAGAAAACAGTTTTCGGAAACAAACCTGAATAGCAGCAAGACGCACGACGGCTTCTCCGACACGACCAATACGATCACTTCCGCAGATAAATGCGAGCGAAAGGATCAATACCATCAATCCAACAACGGTTACTTGCTTGAAATTCAAGTTCTTGGGAGCACTCGTTTTCGAATTCAAATTTTTTAGAAAACGTTCCAAAGGCTCCCGAGACTTTTCGGCTGCTACTTGGTCACGAAGACAGGATTCAATCATGGTCTTCACCAAAGAATCGAATTCACACATGATTCACAACGAAATAAATCCTCTGAAAAAATAAAGCCATACATTGAACTTGAAAATTCTAAAAATACTCGAAAGTCAATCCAACTTTTCACTTCGAGATTCCACGTTCTATTCCAAGCCCTCACGCAAAATTTTTACAAAAATACTCGGACAAAAATTTCAGATTTCTTAACGATTTTCAAAAAGCTCAATCAACTTTTGCACATCATTAGCTACCGAGACATGTACGGGGAACATTTTTCGCCGATATAAAAAAATCACTGTATTCTTCCCATTCAAAGCCCACAACAACTAAAATGAGACCCCACCTCGTCCTTCAAAAAACTTACGACGCAAAGTGCTCCGTAATTTTCCAGGAAGCTATGTTGCAATTCAGCTGAATGCAAATGTGACACTGGTGACTGTTTTTTTCTGTTGATTTGGCCACCAATTCCGTTTTTCAACGGATTCGGCGTTGGTAATGCTTGAGGTATTGTTTCCTTCGATTGTTCAACTTCATCTTCCTGAGGATTACGCTTTGCGTAAGGCACTTTCCCGCCTGAGCTTTGCGTCACAAGAACATTCACCTGCAATAAAAATTGGAAAGACTTCATGAAAATAGACTTCATGAAAATTTCAGAATCAAGAAGGAACACTCCAGGTGATTTCGTAAGTTCTACCCACTTAGGTAGATGCAATAGCAGAATCTCCAATATGATACACAGCCAATGGCTGTGAATAACATTCTTCAGTAGATACTTCGCCTCAGAATGAGACGCATTTCGGAAAATATTTTTTTTCAAAATTTTGAAAGCTTACTCGAAAAATCTTTTCGTTCTTCGGGCCATTCAGTGATGCCAACGACTTTCCAACAGACACTTTCTTCAGACGTGGAAAAGTCTTGGCACGTATTATAGACTTTTTCAAGTTCGTTTCAGGTCGGAAGGATGAACCAATTGCGCGTCGTGTCACGCGGGCATCAGATTGCAGCAGCTCGCACAGTCCCATCTTCTTCAAAACTTTACATTCATCAAGAAGCAAACGATCTGATTCTCGATGCTTCTCGCCACTCGTGCGTTTCTGAATGTACTTGGGGTATCTCTTCATCACTTCTTCAAATGGCAAGTCGGAGTTTAGTAAAGCTTCTCGCTTCAATGATGCCGGTCCAGGATGTTCCAGAAAATGCTTGGCATCACACAACATGTCCGGATTTTCGTCCGATGAAAATTTCAAATGCTTATCGGCATTTAGAACGATCGAAAAATTTCGACAAGTCGTAAGCTTCAAACGGGAATCCTGATCAATGCCAAACTGAATTATTTCAGCTCGGTGAAGCTTTTCAGCGCGAGAAAAACAGTAATCACGACAATCTTCGGGTGCTTTTGAACGTCGCGTTTTAAACGCAGAGAGCAATTCTGTTTGCCAAGGAGAAAGGTTACATAAGCTAATGGAATCGCGCACAACTTCAGGATCCGTTGAGCAAAGCCGCTCGGTGAGAAAAAATGACGAAACGGGATCAGGGGTGAAGTTCCTTTTAGAATGGCGCAAAACATGGATCCCATGACGCGAAGATACGTCAAGTTCGAAATCTTCGTCCTGATATCGTAGCATGGTGAACTTCTGTCTGTGGTACGAGGACCAGTCGTCGTTGGAGGACTTCTGTGAGATCCGAAAATGAGGTATCTGAAAATTCGGCTGCTGGAGGGCTAGTACTTCTTTCACATTTTTTAAATCTGCAACATGTTCCTGAAGCAAGGAAAAATTCAAACAAATCAGCATCCTTCAAGTTTTGTTCACTATTGACAAGGAATGGTGCTACCGACGACCTGCCTCCACATTTTCGCATGCAACTGACTTTTTTACAGCTTGTGAAGCTTTTTTTTTTTTACCTGTTTTACAAGCCCAGAATTTAAAAAATGAATACTGTCAAAGTAAATTGATATCAGAACATTTGTTTACGACGAACATCTCAACTAACAACCAAACCAGCCCAACTTTGAACTTAACTTATAGAAATAAATGAATTATGACAGTAATTCGAGTGATTTGAATTAAGAAGCATATGCAGAAGTTCAGCTATCACCAAGTGATTGTTGCAGTTCTTGAGGTTAAAATTGAAAACGAAAAAGATGGTCATACTTTTCGGGTACGTCACGCACTGTAAACACTGATACAAGTCCAGTACTTACAAAATTCTTCACAGATAGGCAAGCAACCAGCCGTCGATGGTTCTCACGGTCATATATTGAGATCGCACCAGTTCTGTGAATGATCTTCTCAAATCGTTTCCCGTCGCCACTCAGACGGGCGGCGAACTCAAGTATTTTGGAGACACCATGGAAATTATACAAGCAACGTAACAGCTTCAAGCACAGCCCAAATTTCTGAAATACGTCAAACTTTTTACCGAATTGAATTTTTCCAGAATTCATTCACTGTTTCGAATAGGTACCTCAAGTGGTAGGTTTGGCGCGTAAATCTTCAACGGAAATGGGGAGTCCTCCGGCCACCATTCTGGCTTCTGGCTGCTATCACACACAGAAATGTCGGGGGTATCTTGAAAATATCGACGCTGCACAGTATTTAGGAAGAACCAGTACAGTTCACTCTGCAAGGGAGGCCGATTACACACAGAAAAAAAATTGTGAATCATTGAATACTACCAATTTCATCGTTTCCAAACTTTTTAGCTCCCCATCTGGTGTGAAAGGAAAAGGAAGGAAAGAAACCACTGTTTCGTCAGTCGGCAGAGAGTACATCATTGAAAAACGACGGAAACTCGATGAGCCGACATGAGTCAAATGAAGTTCTTCCAGATTCATTTCCTGGAACATCGAAAATTCGTGACTCTTCAATTGCACAATGCATTTCACATCAACCACTCACCCAACATATATCAAGTATCCTTCGCGGACAAACAAATGTCGAAAGCTTCTAATGCATCACTTCCCGCGGCAGAAGCTTGACTGCGTTTCACAAGGATCTCTCGCAGTGACCAGTGAAAAAATTGTTATCACTCGCCATGACCATAACTTCAAGTTCTCATTTCTACACATTCGGCAATCCAGAGAATCACATTTGAATAAGGGTAGATCAACACATCCCGAATTTCGTGGAATTCGCGTCAGTTACATGAACCACAGCGTCCCACTCGCAGGTTCCACAATTTTTCCGATAGTTGACAAAGCATGGAAGAACCGACTCGACACCTGTGGAAATTTTGGTGTAGGTATGACCGACTCAGTAACTCCTCATGATCTAGTCCTGCTACACCGTCTAACTGTAATAATTGTTCCGGTGGAAATTGAGCCCACGTTAGCGAAACGCCATCATGCTCAAGAGCAAATGTATCAAGTCAAAGAAACATTTTGGTACAGCTAGTAGCAGTCGTACTGGGCGTCTCAATTGTTGTACTTTCTGTACTGTACTGTGCATCTTTTGCAACAGCAATATCGCCAATTGATCCGCCACAAAGTCATCCTACCGTTAATAAAGAAAACGAAAAAGCAGGTAAGTTATTCTAATTCAAAATTACAGGCAAAACAAAACTGGTTTCTTGTAAGCAAAATCATACTACTGTACAGTACTCCAGGATGAACAGGAATACCCTATTCTGGGGCTTCCCAAATTTCTCCGGAATTATCCCACATGCTGGAAGACGGAGGAATTTTTTCATACAAGCTCCTGGTGATATAGTACTTAGTTTCACCATCATTGATATTTCCTCAGATTCAGAGAAGCATGCTACTGTAATGCATCTTGTATAGACATTAATCACCACACCACAAAATCTTCATTTAATGATAAATTAATATTATTTTTTGCTTGCCATGTTCTTCATCAAATAAAGATAATTTATTTAATTTTGAAATATGTTTCCGCCGCATTTTTATTCAACTAGCTGTATGTCCTTAATTTAGGATTGCCAAGTTATGTGGAACCCAATCAGGAGCCCCAGTTCTATTCTAGATCTGGAAGTCCTAAAAAGGTGCTATACTAACTCATATGAAAGGCACGCTTTTTCCAAACTTGAGGGGAAAGCAGGGGTGTGCATCATAGGTGGGTTTACATTTTCAAAAAAGTTTTAGAAGTTTAGGTGTGCAGCATACTTAATTATAATTAGAACCTTTTGATCAATTTAAGCAAAAAACACTGCAGCAGTAGAACAACAGGTGCCTCTTTCATCCCCCAGACAAAAAGGCAGCATGCATCCTCATCTGAAAGTGATCAATGATATGACCCACAAAAAAAGCCCGTATTGCAAGCTTGGAAAATGTGCCACAAGTCATAACCCATACACTCATAAATTTATGTCAAGCTTAGAAACCAGCATGGACATACTACTCTTGGAATGGGGTGTACCCTTGCACTCTCTCTCTCTGCCTTGTCAGCAGTAGCCAGATATATATGGTATATCCTTGCTGGGTATCTATAGGGTCTCCCGCCTGTGCCTGATGATTCCTCAGAAACGACGCATGCCAAGGGACTTCATAGCTGGTTGGAGGGTTCGATCCTTGGGTTCGAACTGGGGGGTAAATTGGCCCTCAGCTTGTGGGGGGAAAATGAGACCGTTGGCTCCAAATGACTAGCCCTAGCTGGCTCTCTTATTGCTGCTCGACCAGGAGCAACATCAGCCTCACTGATCAATCCGATCCACCCGGAAAACACCACCAGTTGCAGGCTATGTGGACCCCCGCGATATCCTTTTATTTTTGGGACATCAACAGTCTTTCCCCATATTTATGTCTTTTTTTTAGACATTAAATGGTGCCTTGCACAATGAACAGATTTTTTTCTTGAGTGGCAAAATAACATTCTCAATACAAGTACAACAGCAGTAGGATCTCTAGCAGTTGAAACCCCCAAAAATCCAACTCTGGGAGTTTTTCAATTATATCAACAGTTAAAGAGTGAAGCTAATTTAATGATATTTTGGGCCTCAGATTGCTGAATAAATGAGATGACAGGAGGACAAATTTATGAGCACAGGTACGTTTTCACAATCAATGATTAACCTCATTTAAAAAAGCAATACATGTAAATACCTTTTATTATACTCCCACTTCTTTGGTCCACAGTATGATAGCAAAAGGCCCTCAAGAACTTGAGTTATGCACATGCTTGAGGGGGAAAAACCCTTAAATTAGGGAGACCTGTGATCAAGAATTATAAAAGAAAGAAATAAAAACTCAGTCAATCAGCCTGTTGAGGCTGAGAACACATTTTCAAGGGGTCACCTTGAATATATGTTCCTATAGTTTCAAAATGATATCTACTCAGATATTTTCAGTGAAGAAAATCAAGGATTCAATGAATCCAATAGAATAAATTTATCCACACAATAAATACAATTATCAGATCAGATAAAAAAAAATACATCACAGATTTGTGCACAAATCAGTTAGTAAAAAGAAAGGAGGAGATTGTCCTCCAAGAGTTTAAGACAGACTGGTTGATAAATTATAAATTATAAGAGCTTGTATTATTTTCTTGGAATGGTCTGGTCAGGTGATTTGGCCAGAAAATTCCAAAATATTCTTAGATATTCCCTGGCCTCTGATTGGCTGAATAATTAAAAATTGAAGAAATTGACTAAAGCATCATCAGGTGATGCAATTGGTTTCCTCTCTCATTTACTCCACAACAACACCTAGGTTGCTTAACTATTTTTCAATTCAGCCATGAAAAATTTGGTGCCCAAGAGCCCAGAAAAAAAAAATAGACTGACCAAAATAGACAAATTCCAGGAAAAATCAACTGTGTTTTCTTTCAAGGGCTGGAAACTCTTAATGAAAAAATTTCCCTTCAGGCAGTGTTTTCTGTTGCAAAAATGTATTTTAATTTTATTATTGGATTAACATTCAAGAAATAAAAAATAGGGTTTAGTCATTATCCCTGACAGTAAATCTGGGCTCTCTCTACAACAAATATCTTTGCATAACAATTTTTTGGGTCCTCTTCCTCCATCTACAATAAAATTCTTTCTCTGGCAATTTTTTTTCTGGTCCCTTGAATTTTGTTGTAGAGAGAGTTTGTATACCTTGGCTAAGCTTGTTAGGCTGTCTATTGGTGATCTTTGGTCAAACCAAATTGCACATGTATGCTAAAAAAAAAGTTGCTTTGCTTTGGGATAGAAAAGAACCAACCCCAATCCAAAAATGGTAAAGGACATTTTGCATGACAAGAACAAAAGAGAAATTACATTTGCAGTTTTGTTTCTACTTAGAGATGCTTGAAATAGCAACATTCCACTACCAAAAATGGGGAAATTCTTTTCAACACGCAGAAGATGTCTCTGTACGAGCAAGAATTTGTGCCAGAAGCTTCCAAATTGGCAGCATGTGCTCATCAGTTGGCCAGCGCCACCAAGCTTCAATACAATTTGGCAAACGTATTCGCAGTGCAACTAAATGTCCCACCGAGGTCGAGAATGGCAAAACTGATGCTGCTGTGTGTCTTTCTCTGCATCACAGCTATATACACATGCACAGAGGAGGTAATGTATATATAGGAAAGGACCAAGGAAGCAAGTTTGCAACGATTGTCGCTGTTCTCCTCCTCCTCCTTCCCCGTTGAATCCCCAACATCGGTCATTTGTTATCTTTCTAGGCCGACTTCTTGTTTGAATGACTTTTTCTTTCGTCCAAGAAGAAGAAGAAGAAGCCCAGATCATTTTTCATTCGGGCGGAAATCTGATGACTTGTTGCTGCGTCTTCCGGCTACCGGGGTTTCCTCCCTTTCCGGTTCCTTCTTTTTTTCTTCTTCGTCTCCCTGATACATCATATACTGTATATACAAGCAGGAGTTTCCAGCCACAATTTTCCTTTTGTTTGTGATGGAGGAAAAATTGCTGGCTCCGAAGCAATAACGATGTTTCTGGGGCTCGAATATGACGACTTTTGGGAGGAGCTGAACTGGAGTAATTATCCTCCGACGATTGACTTCATCAAGACTGGAATCATTGCCTCTTTTCCCGTTAGTCCATGCATGCAGCAGAGTTGCCAAGGAATCACAAGATTTATTTGCCAGGCGTTCCAGTTTTTAATATGCAGTATTAAAAAGTCGAATTTCTACGTTTTTCCACGCGGTTTTGGCGTGCAAAAATTCAAAGGGTTTTCCTTTGAGAAATTCAAGTGTCAATGGGACCCCGACATATGGCCACCCAACATACTTATGCAAAAATTTGACTTGGGGACACTTGAAAATATTTAAAAAATGAGATCGAACATTTCTAAAATGAATTTGAGAACCTTAATTTTTATAAATTTCGATAGCTCTTGAATAAAAGAATAAAATTATAAATTTAAGTACTGTATTAAAATAACTCTGATTCAAGATCAAAGTAGGCCATTATTATTTTTTTTCTGAAATGCTGCTTTCATCATGTGTGCATGGTATAGCATACAAGATGTGCTCTTTTTCTTGAGCTCCTTCTGATGCCAAAAGATCAGATTCTGCGTGATTTTCTTCTGCAACTATTTTCTGTATCTTGAAGTTGATTCAATTTTGGGGGCGACATCTTCCTAATTGTTGATGAACAGGAGAACTAATTAAGAATTAAATATGTTTCCATTGAAGTCAATGGGAAAATGTGATCCGATATGTGAACACTGATTTACAAGCTGCTTCCTCAAACAATCTAAATTTAGCTTCCTGTATTTTTTCTTCTTCTCCTCATGATGGATTGGTAATACAGTACCGTGTAGCTCATTTTTTCTAAAACAGTGTCAATCACATTTTTAAAATGTATTCTTTTTTA